CCTTTCCCTCATCCTTGAGAGGTTACCGTGTCACGTCAGGTTAGTTGAGCAGAACCTGCCTTTTATAAACTCATGCTGACTGGGCCTGAACCCTTGGTTGTCCTGAATGTGTCTTGTGATGGCACTCAAGATGATCTGCTCCATAACCTTCCTGGCACCGAGGTCAGACTGACAGGCCTGTAGTTTCTTGGGTAACTCATTATCCATGAGCTACTTGAAAACTCTTTGAGGAAATGCTACTTGAAACTGGTGACTTGTTTTGAAATAGAAACAGAAGTAATCTGTTCCGTATCATTTCAATTTGAGACAGATTCTTTTAGGTCCTGCCAGAAAAAAAGAAAAAGTTACTGGCCTTTTCTCTATAGGAAGCTGTCTAAAAGGCATACGGGGAGAGACAGAAGGAGAGCAATTTTTCTGCAAGCTGTTACTCTGATTGAGTTTTGGCTTCCATTATTATTTGTACTTTCCCATGCTATTTTGGAATCCTTTCTGTTTTCCTCAGTTGGATACTTCAGCTTTTACAAGTTTTATCTCCTTTCCTATCCTTGTGTTCTTTTGCCCTTTGTCAAGTCTGTCTGATATGTGGTGCGTACCTGCCTCTGACACAGACACAGAATCTCTGTGATGACTCTTTACATTTGGGGACCGTGACAGCATTTTTGTTCTGGGTGTAGAATGTCCTTCGCTAGCATACAAGAGATTTCTTGAGTGTTTATGTCTGAGCAAAGAGTAAGAAGACGGATGGGCTAGTGTTCACTGCCACCTGTGCTGTTACTTTGTTTGCATAGCATATTTTTGGGTTTTCTGCAGGTCCTACAGTGGAGCAGCAGGGTGAAATGGCTCGAGCTGGTGGCAGGACCCTGGCAGCTCTACAGCCTGAGCAGGTGACAGAATGTGGCCTCACTTGTTAAGCTTGTAAACATGTGCAAAGTTTTACAACATGTATTTATAAGACAAATGGGCTCCTTGGGACAAGAGTCTATTTTTTCATGTGTGATTTGGATGGTAGCATGCTTAAAGACATGAGAAAAGCAGAAAGATAATGTACCTTTAGGTTATGAAGTAATATGTGCTTACATGTCGGATTTATAAAAATTTTAATGACATAGAATATCACAGAAATGAATTGTGATCAGAGCTGCTGAGGAGTTGACTGGAATAACTTGCTTCATTCACTCCTGTGTAGTGTATGTGAAAGAGGAGCTGTAAGCAATTACTGTTCTGCAGCTGAGCAGGTAAAATGTGACATTCATTGTAGAGAAGACAAGATGATCTTAAAGGAAGACCATTGAGGGTTTGGTGAAGAAGACTGGTCATGGAAAGCAGGATAATAAAAAGAAAAGTAAAGGTTGAAGCAGTGTTCAGCCTCATTTTTCAGTGTGATACAGGCTGGAAAAATCAGCTGGTCCCCAGTATTCAGGGAGTCAAGACAGTGAGAGTATGTGGTCAGCATAAATGGACGGAGGGTAACAGTTGTCAAATAGGCTTTGTGTAATAAGTCAGTTCAAAAACTGTTTTCATTTTCAGAGAGCAGAGATTATTTATCGTCTTGCTGACTTACTAACTGACCAGAGAGAAGAAATTCTCTTGGCAAACAAAAAAGACTTAGAAGAGGCTGAAAATAAAGGTAATATTTCAAGTCCTTCCATGTTTTGAACCTCTCTGGGCCTCGAAGGAAATGAACAGAACTAGAATCTCTTGTCCCCTGGGATTGGGTACTGTGGCTGTCACAGATGAGTGAACTCAGGACCTTGAGAGCTTGTCAGCATAAACAGCTGCAGCTTCTATAATTACATAAAACAGATGCCTTCATCAGAAAAGATACTGGGGGCTTGTATTGTAAAAAGTAAGAAAAGAAACAAACAAAAAAATAGTGCTCTATTTTGCTAAAGGAGGCTCACTTTAGAAATGGAGTATAACAAACATTATCTTTGTTATTGCCATGCATAAAATAAATATCTTCTGGGCTGATTAGGGTAATGTTTGGCTCCTGAGGGGAAGGCTGTCATCTCTATAGTTAAATCGATGCTTTCCAAAAAGAAGCATGTCCCCTTCTGACTGAGGAATGTACTCTTTAGGTGGCTTGGATTAAACCCTTTTTTCTGTGTCAGAGTGACTCATGCACTGAGAAGTTGGGATTGGTATGTGTAAATATAGAGATATCAATGTATCAAATGTATGAAAATGACACATCATGACTTTTAATACTTTGTTGGAGGTGCCATCAAACCAATTTTTACTGACCAGAGTATGTGAGGGGACATGCTGGGTTAGTTTACTGTCTGAATGTGTTCAGATTAGAAAATTAAGGCACTTCTTGCCCAGTCTGGATAGAAATGCTATGCAAACATCTGTGCTTTGGGATTTCTAGCTGTAAAATTGAAAGATGAAGTCACTGCCGAAACTTTCCAGAAATACTGCAAGGTTAGAAATCTGTAAGAAACTCAGACATATAACAGTACTTGAAATAGGACAAACCTCATCTCTGTGGATGTTGACATTGCTTCATGTGCAAACCACTTAAATGGTGATGGGTGAAAAAATTCTCAGATTTGAGTGGTTTTGTTATGGCTACTGGACTTAATGCTGTGCATTTTTTATCTTGGGTAGGTTTCTTGCTAGGGCATGGGAAATACCTGAATTTTCCTTCGGTTCATCACTTGTTTAAACCACTTTTGCTTGAGCCTAGACACACCAGTCTTTCTCCAGCACAATTTTTTTTTCTTTCTCTTAGGGAGATTGGCACTTCCTTTGCTGAAGCGTCTCAGTCTGTCTACATCAAAGCTGAACAGCTTGGCTATTGGGCTGCGTCAGATTGCAGCCTCCTCCCAGGACAGCGTGGGCCGCGTGATTCGGCGAACACGAGTGGCAAAAGGCCTGGATTTGGAGCAGGTGACAGTGCCTATCGGAGTCCTCCTCGTCATCTTCGAGTCCCGTCCCGACTGTCTTCCACAGGTACATAAGGAGGGCACGTTACATTGTTGGGAATTCTCTGATACAAAGAAAGGGTATTTCTGTTGGTAATCAGTTGAGGGGCTACAAAAACTCTTGTCTCAAAGGACCGTTGCTTGAATTCTTCTAAAAATGTATTTTGTCGACGTCCCTGTTTTTCCTGCAGAGATATTCTCAGGACTTGCTTCTGCAGTGTTCAGCATTACTCAGATCTGTCTGGTTTTTTTTAAAAACCCTTGACCTATGGAAGGGTTTATCTTACATTCAGATGGTGCAGTTTTTGCATGTGTCTTACAAATGTAGGTTCAGTGCCTAGCTCACAGCTGGGTGACTCCTGCCAATAAGCACTTGTTTTATCTGTCCACGCTGCACGCAGCTGAGCTGCAGGCTGGGATTGAACAGGTACTGTTTAACATGGGTGGTAGTAGTTAACTGTAACTGTTGGAATACATGATAAAAAAATACATTCAAAAAAGGCTGAGCACAGAAAGCACAGAACTTCCAGACTTTCAGTGGTCTGTTCTGTAGTGATACTGCTTGTGTGCAGTGAGGCAGAGTGATAGCTTTTATTCAGTTGTAGTGAGACAGTTGTGAGAAAAAATGGTGTTCCTAGGTAATGAAGTTGATGGAAAGGCTAGAGAAAATCTCAGTCTTACAGTGTACTGTGAGTGAATGTCATTTGTCTTGTGCCAGGTGTAAGGCAGGCATCTTAAAGGCAAATACCTTCATCTGCAGTGCTGTGTGGGAGTATTGCTGTGAGTAAATAGTTATAATGCATGAAAATATGGGGGCTGAACTAATGCTGTACAGGCAACCTTGATCTTTTCTAACTCCTGACTATTTTACTGAGCAACTGTAGTAGATTCAAAAAACAAAACAAAAAACCCCACTTCATTATCAACACCAGTTCCCACAGCTAACATTAGGTATCTAGAAAAATTGATTGAGAAGTTCTCTAACATATAGTCAGGTGTTTAAGGAGAAAGTGATGGGTACAGACACTTTAAAAGGAAGTGAGAGTCAATTGGTGGGCAGCTTTGTACTTCATGCCTCAGTTTTGTGAGTTGTCTCTCCCCATCTTGTACTGAAAGGGGAGTATGCTCTAGGTGAAGTTCCCATGAAGTGAAAAGGCACTCACTAGTCTCCCTTGTCTACTATTTTTAGCTCCTTGTTGATAGCTCGATTCTTCATAGATAACCAGAGTGTTTCTTTGGTGAAGTCTAGTCTTTATTCCTGGACTTAGCCCTGCTCTCTTGCCTTGTGTAGCTGATGTCTCCCTCTCTCTTCCCTTTTATCTTATCTTAAAACTTCCTCCAGACTGACTCTTGCTGGCTTTTTTCCCCCCCTCTTTCTTTTACAGACTTGGAACAACTTGTCCCAGTAGTTGCTTTTCTTCCTTTTTTTTTTTTTCCAGCCCCCTGCCTTCATACTTGCATCAGATCCTCTGATATAACTTCAGAGGATCATCTTAGATACCTCTGTATTTCAATTGCATGATCTATGTCCCATGCTGTAGCAGATAGTAGGATGTTCTCTGAGTGCAGAGGAGCAGTTGCTTCCTCTCAGTTTACTACTGCATCTCATGCATGTTTGGCTAAGCAATTGCAGAAGTTTGGTTTGCCCTGGAAGACAGCATGCTCGGTTCGCTCCCTGCAGATAGCTTACACAGAGTTCTAACAGTGCTCAGAGTTCAGTCTTGAGTTGCAGTAAAGGGGAAACAATTGCAGATCACCAGTTAAGATTTAATCAGCTTCTAATGAGCATATACAAATAGCATGTTTGCCTCTAATATTTGTAAAGCCAAACTGTGAGCATCTTTCACAGAAGCTGCTTCTTGTATATTCCACCAAATCCAATTGTTGCTCTGACGGGTAGTCATAATCCTCTTTGAAGGGACTGAACTGTTCTATAGAGTGATAGAATAGAATCATAGATCCATTAAGGCTGGAAAAGACCTAAGATCATCAAGTCCAACCATCAACCCAACACTACCATGACCATTAATTCATGTCCCAAAGTGCAATGTTTACGTGTTTTCTGAACCCCTCCAGGGCTGGTGACTCCACCAGCTCCCTGGGCAGTGCCTCACCACTCCGTCAGCAAAGACATTCTTCCTAAGATCCAAGTGAAACCTCCCCTGGCGCAACTTAAGCCCATCTCTTCTTATCCTATCGCTCGTTACTTGGGAGAAGAGACCAACCCCCACTGCACCCCAGCCTCCTTTGAGGTAGTTGTAGAGAGCAGTAAGGTCTCCCCTCAGCCTCCTCTTCTCCAGACTAGACAATCCCAGTTCCCTCAGCTGCTCCTCAGAAGATGTGTTCCCCAGACCCTTCACCAGCTTCATTGCCCTTCTCTGGACCCTCTCCAGCATGTCCTCAATGTCCTCCTTATCCTGTGGTGCACAAAACTGGACCTAGTATTCAAGCTATGGTCTTACCAGAGCTGAGTGTGGGGGCACAATCACTTCCCCACTACTGCTGGTCACACTGTTTCTGATACAGGCTGGGATGCTGGTGACCTTTTTGGCCACCTGGGCACACTGCTGGCTCATGTTCAGCTGGCTGTCCACCAACACCCCCAGGTCCTTTTCCACCAGGCAGCTTTCCAGCCACTCCTCCCCAAGTCTGTAGCATTGTCTGGGGTTGTTGTGACCCAGGTGCAGGACTGAGCACTTAGCCTTGTTAAACCTCATACAGTTGAGCTTGGCCCATTGATCCAATCTGTCCAAATTCCTCTGCAGAGCCTCCTAACCCTTGAGCCTCCTAACCCTTGAGCAGATCAACATTCACACTCAGTTTGGTGTCATCTGCAAACTTAGTGAGTGTGCACTTGATCCTCTGATCCAGATATTGATAAAGATATTAAACAAGACTGGTCCCAACACTGAGCCCTGGGGAGCACCGCTTGTGACTGGCCACCTGTTCAGCCAGGCCAGTTGTCTTCCCCACTAGTTTGTCTTACAATACATGGGGACAGCCTGCTCCTATGCCTCTAAGACTTCCTTTTTGAATAATGTCCAGCCTTCCTGGACTCCTTTGCCCTTCAGGACTGCGTCCCGAGGGACTTTCTCGACCAGCGTCCTGAACAGGCCAAAGGCTGCCCTCCAGAAGTTCATGGTGGTAGTTTTGCTGACCCCCCTGTGTACTTCATCAAGAATTGAAAACTTTATCATTTCATGGTTGCTAAGCTCAAGAAGACCTTTGACCACCGCATCACGTGCCAGTCTTTCTCTGTTTGTAAACAGCAGGTCTAGTGAGGCAACTCCCCTGGTAGGCTCACTTACCAGCTGTGTCAATAAGTTGTCTTACACACACTCTAGGAACCTCTTAGACTGTATCCTCTCTGCTCTGTTGTATTTCCAGCAGATGTCTGGTAGGTTGAAGTCCTGCATGAGAACAACAGCTGCCAGCTGCTTGTAGAATGCTTCATCTGCATCTTCATCCTGATTGGGTGGTCTGTAACAGACTCTCAACAGGACATCTACCTTTTGGGCCTTCTCCCTCATCCCTAACGATAAGCACTCAACCTTACCATCACAGTCATTGAGCTCTGTACAATCAAGACACTCCCTAACATACAGAGCCACCCCACTACCTCTCCTTCCCTGCCTATCCCTTCTGAAGTGCTTGTACCCATCCATTGCAGCACTCCAGTCTTGAGAGTCATCCCACCATCTTTCTGTGATGGTGACAAAGGGGTTTTCAAACCCCTTGCCTTCTGTTATCCTTTTAGACACAGAGTTTTTTATTTTTGTCTTCCTGATTTTTTTTTTCTTTGCATTTTTTTCAAATCAGTTCATAACCATTCATTTAATCTTATGCCTGCAGAATGAAATTTTGTATTTAAATGAGCCATCCCTTGTAATACTGACTTTTGGAGAGGCAGATATGTACCATATGCTTTCAAGATACAATCAGACTGCTTCCTAGTGTCTAGTTTTACATGTTAGAAAGGCATAGTATCTATGTAAGGTAGGCTTCCTAGACTATTGCACTTCAGTGTGTTTTTCTGAAGCATTTCTTACTTTTCACTAGTCTTTTAAAATTGCTGACAGGAGGATGTGGTAAATGTCAAGCATTGTGATTGTTGTTATCCATTCAATATTAGAAGGGGAAAGCAGGTGATCTGAAGAGATGTCTGTTTTTCTTTAAGATTTTTCTGTACAAATCAGCATCTAATGTGTGCCACTAAGCTAGCTACTTATTAGGTGTGAGCCTAAAATGCCTAATTCTGGCATCTATATTTCAACAGCATGCAATTGAAATACTAATGAGTGAAAGTTTGGTGATGATACATGCAGATGATGATAATGATACATGTGATCTTTCCCAGAAGATGGGAATACAGTAAAATAACTTCAAATGCTTAATTTGTTTGTTGTAAAAGGTTCTGTAGAAGAGATGATTTTGTTTTCTCAAGGAGTGTATGCTATTTTTTTTCAAAGAGGTGGAAAAATTATGAGATTGTTGTGAATTGGATTGGAGTGAGAAAGGAAAAAAAGTAAAATAAAGTCTGGAAAGAGAGCTTCATCATGTCTGACATACTTGCAGGTGGAGTAGAAAGGGAACCTGAAACAATGAAAAACCTACCACCACCCTTCTGTTAAAGAGGTTTCTAGTGTAGCAGGGAAAACACCAATAAGAACTAGGGTCTGGAGACACTGGGGAATTGGTTATATGTTCTGATCAGCAGAAGTAACTTTTTACCTAACTTCTAAAAAGCAGTGGCTTCTTCAGAGCATGGTTTTTAAATGTGTTCTATTCATCCTGCTGGACTCAAATGGGTGCAATTTGTCACCTTAATAGAAAAGCAACGATATCAGTCTGTTACTTCTCAAAACATGACAAACATGAAAGCAAAGTGTGGAAAAAATAGAGGTGATGCTGGGCCCATTGTCTTGAAGGCTTTTTTTCCCACACTTAAGGTAAGAGTTGTCTATTTATGATTTCTGTTTTAGACAGATGAAAATCTGTTTTAGATTATGAAAATGCTGCCCCCCCCCCTCAAGGTAGCCCGGAGGGAGGAGGCAAGGGAAACACTGCCCCGCCTGCTTTCAACAGCTCACCAAGATGGTGATAGAATACATACTCCGGGCACATCTTACATTGTAACCTAGGACACAGTAGTGCCCTGAAAACTCAAGTTTGTTCCTGAAACACTATCATGTTTCATTTCTGGAGTTAAATGTGCTGTTACTGGTATGGTTTTTTTGGTGCCATAAAATGAAAACTGTAGATTAACATGGAATAAATCAACCAGATTATAAATCCTGTTCTTAATCTGGCTTGTGGGCGTTATCCTGATAGAAGAAACAGATTATTTCTCTCTACCTTACTTTTTTTTTAATAAATAATTAAATTATTTTCTGACAGGTGTCTGCTTTGGCCATAGCCAGTGGAAATGGCTTACTACTTAAAGGAGGGAAAGACGCAGCACAAAACCATCAAA